TGCCGAAGACCAGACACCTATGGATTCCTCTTACTAAGGGATTATGACTACAAAGCTGACCCTGGGATCATCAAAAGCAGTCACAATAGGTTAGCATTGTCTGCTGCAAGCCCAGCAGAGAAAAGTGGTGTTAGGGATATTAAGTATCTGTGAGAGGGAGGAAGACATCCTTATGGCCAAGTATCCTGCGTGGTCTAGAGATACCCCTCCAGGGACCGCTGCTGGCTCTCCAAGAACCCACCTCTTTCCCAGCTCATTCTTAGAAGCATCTGTTTAAACAGCACACCTGAGTGGAAGACCACTCCCACCACGACAGAATTCTATTAACAAACTTTCATCAAGAACAACAGGAATGAAGAGAAGCTCATTAAGTCCCAGAGTCTTGTGGCCCAAGATCCCATTTCAAAGCACCTTCCCCAGGTAAATATGAGTCCAGGGACTCCCTATCAAAGCTCAGAAGGTAGAGCCAAGCACTTGAATGTCAACATTACAGACACCCTACAGGGGTCATACATGGCTTTTTTAAGCAGCAGAATTAGTTTATAAGTTAAAATTCACTAAGAAGCCCCCAAATAAAAAATGAATCAGTAGGGACCAGCAGATGACATAATGGTTATATTGCTGGACTCTCACATAGTTGACTGCATTTTGTGTCCCTGACTCAACAGCTTAAAACTCAAACTAGGCACTTTTGCATACATGCCCGAAATCCCAAGAGGAGACTGGAGGAGAAGGGATTGTGGTATGGCCATCTCCCCTGAGGAGGGCAGTGATTTATGGCTTCTGTCTCTCTGTCTCTGTCTCTGTCTCTCCAGCAAGTGCACATGCCCTGTAGTAAAAGTCTGTAAAAAAAAATTAAAATAAAAAAGGATCAGTAGAATTCTTCAGACTGCCAGCTCTTCCTCCCTTCTGCCCTCACCATCAACACCTTCTCCTCCCACAGGGCACTCTATGGGTAGAGCTGAGAGTTCCCCAATGAAAGTCAAATCTTCCTTTTATAAGACAGGAAACTAAAAGTCCCATTAGACTTCTAGAGTTACCAGGGGTACACCT